TACTTGCTTTTCAAGAACAAAGCAATAGGTTGGCAAAGGCTGTGGGCAGAGAATCAAAAGGCTGAATTTCTAACCCGATTCTGCTGTAAACTGGCCACATGACCTTGGACAGTTCGCTTCACCTCTCTGAGCCTCAGTGTCCTCCTCTCTAAAAGGGGAGGGGTAGAAAATGAACAGATAATTTCTTTGGTTCTTCCCAGCTCTAAAGGTCTATGGGTCTAAGTTGAGAATGGGCGTCAGGCATCTTAGCAAATATTTCATTTACTGTTCCAATCCTCTGTTTTCCCATCTATGAAACGGAGACGAGGATGGCTGGTTTACATGGATATTTTGAGGATTAAATGAGCTACTGTGTATAAGGAGTCCCTGGATGGTGCAAGTGGTTAAGTGCTTAACTACTAGCCAAAAGGTTGGTGGTTCGAACCCACCCACAGGTGCCTCGGAAGACAGCCCTGGCATTCTGCTTCTGAAAGGTCACAGCCTTGAAAACCCTATGGAGCAGTTCTGCTCTGCACACATGGGGTCACCATGAGTCAGAATCGACTTGATAGCAACCAACAACAACAACGTGTAAAACGCGTTATGTATTTTCTTTTCTTTGTTTTTCCTGTAGCACATTGATTCTTAATCTTGCTTGCGTCACTGACTTCTTTGAAAATAAGATGAAAGCTATGAAGTCTCTCCCCAGAAAAAATACACATGGGCACGTAGATACACACAAAACTTTGCATATAACTTTAAGGGGTTTATGGACCACCAAGCCCATCTGTGATCCTCTGGGGAGCCACTGATGCTAGGCCAAGTCCCCCCGATCTAGAAAGTGCTAAACTGTCCTCCAGAAGAACACTGCAGCATCATGAAGAGCAACTGAGATTTCTTCTAAAGCGACATAATGGCCGTCGTTTTTCAATTTGCAGGAGAAAAGAAAAAAAAGGGATAGATGGGATTTGATTAATTTTGAGTTTTTTCTCCCATAATTTTTTTAAACCTTTGGCACCTGCTGTTGCTTGTCTGCTGGTGCTTTCTCACAGATGGCAAAGTGAATGAAAGAGCAGAAAATGAATATGAACAGAAGAACTTGGAAATGTGATTTCATAAAATTACTTTATGCATGTGAGGATTCTAAGGGATGGGGAGACCTGCGTACCTAGAAGGCACCTATAGCACCTGCTTTGCATATATTCCACATGGCCTGGTTCTTAAAGAACATGACCACTGTATCCACTGCATCTAGGAAACACATGTGTGGTATTATCCAGCTGCCACTGATCCCTACACATCACTGATGACACCTCATTAGTTTCTGAGCTGCGCTGCAATGGTGTTTTTTGCTAAAAAACAGACAAAAAAAAACTCTACCCCTGATAAAGGCTTTGAGGGATGCTTTGGGATAGGGAATCCAGACATCTTGCCTCCTTGATGCTGCTCTCTACACCACGCCTCTGAAGGAAGTGCCTTGTTTGGCTAACTTATCACTGTTATGGTCCATTTGTGTTCAGTGTAATTCGTATTTTTGTGGCTTCTTTTCAAGTAGAATCATATTCTATTAAAATATACCCAATTCAGAATGATTGGTCGGCACCAAAGCATACCCAGCTCAGCCAGCCTTAGAGGCGGAGGGGTCAATAATCAACAGGAAGAAGACCTTCCAGTACCAGGCTGAGCTCTCTGTCCCAATGCCATCACTCCACTAGTGTGTTCTGTGTGCCCACTATGTGCCAGGCTCTGTGTTAGGCACTGGAAGTGTTTAAGGGCTCACAGTCTAGTTGGGGAGAGGTAGGGAACAGACATGCACACAAACACTTTGAACGGCAAGAGCTATAATGGAGGCGCACCAGGCACAGAGCACTCATTGCAAAAGAAGCACTGGGGTCTGTCTACCAGGGTGAGTCAGAGCAGATTTTGATTGAAGGCTTGAGAGATGAGGAGAGGTTGCTGGGCAGGCAAGTTTGCAGAGGAAATGCAAGAGCAAAGGCTGAAAGCAGAAGAGAACTTGAAGGATTTGGAGAATGACGGAATGCTGATGGATAAGATGGGCTCCTTCTCCACTGGCCTGCTTTACAGTGTCTTCCTGTCCTAGTGGTCCAGCCTACTGAGAGCCCAAGTGCACGTGCTTGGCCTCCACTCAGCTATGGAGGCTGGGACATGATGAGGACAAAGTCTACTCTTTGGAGACCAACAGCCCCATCCAAATCCCAGCTACACCAACCATATCACTTTGAGCAAGCTCTAGAACTTCTGTGGGGCTCAGTTTCCTCCTAAGAAATGAGGATGATAATTTCTACCTCCTAGGAATGTTTTGAGGGTATTGAGATAAACTAGGGAAAGTGCCTGTGTGATGCCCAACACGTGGTACGTCAGAGATGATAAAGAAGTCTCATCCTACAGGATAACTCCATTGCTAGTGGCCACTACTGAAGTATTCCAAGTCACTGGGATAGAGGGTTGTGGTCAGTTTACAATGTCTACCATAGACAGAAGGTGCAAGAAACGGTGGCACATACGCCACCCTATAGAAGATATCCAGTAGATGCTGGTGTCCTTCCCCTAACAGGCTGCACCCACCTGACTTGGCCAGCTTCCCACAGGCCCCCACTCTAGGTACCCAGAGTATACCAGCCATACCTGCTGAGAATATGGATCACCTAGGATGAGCACAGGGACCTCAACTCAAGAAGAGCACTCAGCAAAGCCTCCCTCAGCTGCAGGAGCTCTGCCTCCCCTCACCTGTACTTACAGGTAGAGAAGGTGGAGCACTTGAGCAAGCCAGTCATCCCGTGGAGCATTCACCTTGTTGTGGTTGTTGCCATCTAGTCAATTCTGACTCAAGGCGACCCCATGTGTGCCGAGTAGAACTGCTCCATAGGGTTTTTAAAGCTGTGACCTTTTGGAAGCAGATTGCCAGGACTTTATTCTGAGGTACCTCTTTATTCTGAGGTTTGAACTGCCAACCTTTTGGCTAGTGGTCAAGTGCTTAACTATTTGTTCCACCCAGGGGCTCCTCACCCTGCCCTTAGTACAAAGGAAATAGAAAAGCCCATTTCAAATTAATCTCCTGGAAACTGGTCAAAGAATGAGGCGACTTGCCGAAAGTGACAAAAATTCAGTTAATTTTCCCCATTTTATACAGAAATCTCTGCCCCTTTATCCAAACCACTCCTCTTCTCCTTCCACTCCTTCTTCCCACATCCTCCCTTCTCTCCTTCCTCCTCAGATGGTAGTGAATCATAGTTATGATTCTGGAATCTGAATTAGATAATGCATGGCACATGGTAGGCACACAATGTTTGCCTATTATTAGTAGTATTTATTTTTAATTTAAATTAATTCTTAAAAAGATACCATGGTCTCCCTACCTATGACTTAATAAGAATGAATCCATTAGGCACTGACCATCCACTCCAGAAAGGAGTTGGTCCTTCACCACTACCTACTTGTATGAGGGCGAGCCCTCAAGCTGATCATCACCTTGACTTGGAGCCAAGAGCTCCACTGGGATGCAGAACCAAAGGCCAGGGTGGGACACAAGGCAGGGCCAAACCAGCAGTGTAAGGAAACTGGCCTGCAGGAATGAATCACCCAATAAGCAAGGGAAGCACGAGCTTACTTGTGTTTGCTTACTAATCTATAGTGCACCTGTGAGCCTGTGCGTACCTTACTTACCGGTTAATCCGCCCCTGCTGGCCTGCCCCCACTCCACCAACACACACACCAATTATGGATGCTCAGCCACCCCTCTGGTGCTTGCTGACCCAGTGGCATTCAGAGATGGCAGATCTTGGGGGGAGTCAACATGTAGTCTCTGCTTCTTCTTAGGAGTCACCAGCCATGCCTCTATCAACAGTTCGATACTTGCACGGCTCTCTGAAGTCTTCCCAGAAAAAACTCCAATCTGAACTCAGGGTTCTGCCCTCTCAACATCACCCTGTCACCTCGGCTGCTGCTCTTGCCACCACATTCACTGTGATCCTGAGACTCTGCCCACCTTCCTTCTTCAAACCCAGTTGTCCAAGAAGAGCTCAGAGACTGAGCTCCAGGTTAATGGGGAAGAGCGCCATCTACTTCCGAGCTTCCCGTGTATTGAGGAAGGCAGAGAACCGCAACCAGCTGTACTGTTTGTTGTCTGACAGCCACCCCTATCTCCCTCCCACCCCATCTTCCAGCCTCGGCAGTGCCAGTGCGGTGGTGGCTCCCTTACCCAGGATGGGGCAGCCATCACTATTAGCTGCACTTGAATCTCCCTCAGCTAGAGGGCACTGGAGAGCTCAGTGAAAGAGCTCCTGGTGGCAATCTTTAGTCATGGTGCACCACCACATGGTGGCCACAGATGATGTCAGCAGTCACCAGCTGGAGGGCCAAGGCCCCGTGACCACCGTCTGATGGAAGACACCAGCACTCCTGCAGCCAGAGCCTCAGAAAATAAGTGTCCCAAGGACCCTTGCAAACAAACCAGCAGGTTACACGACTTCAGACCCAAGTAGGATTGCCATATAAAGTAGAGAACACCCAGTTACATTTGAATTTTAGATACACAACAAATCAAATTTTAGTATAGGTCTCATGCAATATTCAGGACAAACTTATACTAAAAATTATTTGTTTTGTGTCGGAAATTCAAATTTAACCGGAGCATCCTGGTTTCTGTTGTTGTTTCCTTTTTGTTTATATGTTTTTCTAAATCTGGCAACCCCAGGTAAAGGGTCTAGGAAACTCTTCCAGGTGTGAGCAAGGGAGGCACTGACCCCCAGGCCACCAGGGTTCGAGGCAAGCCTTCCCCGGTGGGCTTTTTGGAGTCCACCTGAAGCCCAGCCCAGGTGGACAGGTAAGGAAACACTAAGCTGCTCTCGCTACATGACTCCACATAGAAACCCAGTGAATGCTGAGAACCACATTTATGTTAAACTACGCTTTATTAGCTGGCTTGTCTCCCCAAGCCTGGGTCAGAATCCAAACCACAACTCCCAGCCTGCCGTGTTGGTCTGGTCCTTCCAGAGAGGATCCTACAAGTCACAGCCATCCACCCAGTCGCTAAGGTCCTTGCCTTGGCAGTGATGCCTCCAGGTCTCCCTGCAGATGGAGAAGGGGGAAGGGATAGGCACATTAGCTGCAGCCTCCAGTCACTGCCCAGAGAAGAACAGGAAGGGGGTGGAGGCTCTAAAGCGAGGCAAGGAAAGAAGCTAGCAAAGGGAAGACAAATAAGTAAATTGGATTAATTAACAAGGAATCCCCTGGAAGAAGTAAATAAAATGGAAGAGAATGCCCTAAGAGAGTCATTTTTCTAGCCTCTATTTTACCAATGGAAACACAGAGTGTAATCTGTTCAAGTTCACCCACTGCCAAGACCTAGAGCACTGGAGTCTTGAGCCCTGGTCCAGTGCTCTTTTCCAACACTTTGCTGCTTCTGGAGATAACAATACCACCTTGCATGTGTGCAGACCTTTACAGTTTACATAGCACTCTCTCACCCATCGTCCATTTAACACCTCCAACCCCCACCCCAGCAGCCCTATAAGATTAACAAAACAAAAACCAAACCCGTTGCTGTCGAGTTGCTTCCAACTCATAGCAACGCTATAGGACAGAGTAGAACTTCCCCATAGGGTTTCCAAGGAGCACCTGGTGGATTCAAATTGCTGACCTTTTGGTTAGCAGCCGTAGCTCTTAACCACTATGCCACCAGGGTTTCCTCTATACGATAGATTGGGCAAATATTATGCTCTCCATTTTCCAAAAGAAAAGCTGAGGCTAAGATGCAAAATTACTTGCCCAAGATCCACAGCAGCAAATCGTGCCCACATCTAATTCTCCTTGGCCACCGATCTGGGTCTTTCAATTGTTGGTAACTTTATAGCTCACAGGCTCTTTCAGGACCAGTACTGTTCTAGCTTCATAGCTGACATCTTGAGGAAGATAAGTGAGGTCATGGAATTCTATGGTCCCAAGCTCTGATAACTGGTGTCCTCTATGATGTCAAGGTCAAAGAGCCCAAGTTCCCCTAAAGGATCTCTATAGATCTATTCTCCAAGGGTGGTCAATTGGCTTGTTTGTCTCTTCCACTAGACTATGAGATCCTTGAGGCAAAGACTTGGATCTCTGCCATCTCTGCAACCAAGCACCAAGCCTGGCACAGAGTATATTATTAATTCATGTGTGTGGAATGAACAAACAGCCCGTTTCCACCTTCTGGAACCACTTCCTATTTTCAGCCTCACTAACCTCAGGGGTGATATATGCCAAGAATTTATTCCCAACGTACAAAAGAGAGCTGTTTGATTCAACCCAAAAGGACCTATTTCTCCCATTCCAAGGTGGTGCCCTCAAGTCCTCAAGCCTTTGGGTTAGTGCCTGAGCCTGCATTCATCTTTCTTGAGTTTATAGACATGCATGATGCCTAATGAGCCTGCCTCATTCCAGACTCAGTTCCTAAGGCTTCAGCTGCTCTCGGACCAACACATCTCCAAAGCTGCAGCCATTTTCAGAGCCATCTGTGGCCTTTCTCTAGATTCATAGGGTCCATCTGTGGACCTTCTCTAGAGTCACAGTCCTTTTCACTTGCCCCCTCTCCCTCCCTGGCTACATCTTACCTGTCCCGATTCCTTTTTCACAGTCCTCATACCCAGTCCCTCTCCTGTCCATCACCACTGCAACTGCCCCAGTTCAGACCCTATATTTCTCTCCTAGACTCCTTAAAAGACTTTCAAATGGATACGCCTGCCTTAATCTTTCCCCTGTCTTTCTGCTCTTGGGCTGGAGTTCAATGCCTTCCAACTACCTCCCCAGTTTTATCATCTGCTACATCCATCTATGGTCCTGGTGCATCAGTCACCTGGAGTATTTTACCTTCCCCAGATTCTACCTCCCTGCTGGTCCCTCACCAAGAAATCTGAGTAAAAGGGAGACTGGAGACTCTAAGTAGTGAAACTCCCATCCAAAGAGACTGGGAATAGGGCAACCGCCTCAGAAGCACCTCTGTGAACCAGTGATCTACTTCAACTCTCCACCTTACGCTCATCTGTAACATGGGGCAATCACGACTCCCTTATCTGTGAAGATGGCTTCAAAAGCCATCTTGTGGTTAAAAAACACCAAACTTGCTGGTCTATCCTCCAGATCCCCTGAGACTATGGTCTCCAGACACCTTGCTAACTCAGAACTGAAGCCACTCCTGAAGCCCACTTTTGAGACAGGCTTATGAAACAGATTAGACAGGCCTATAAAACAAACAATAACACAAGTGAAGAACGTGCTTCTTAGTTCAATCGAATATGCCCAAAATCAAGACAAGAAGGCAGGAAGGACTCCCCAAAACTATTGCCCTGAGATGATCTTTAAACCTTAAACCAAAAATATCCCCTAAAGTCTTCTTAAAACAAAACAATAGTTTAGCTTAGCTAGTAAAAAATGTCTGCATTGAGCATTATGGTCTTTTAAGAACTATCTATATGGGATCAAATTGACAATAGTAACTTGAAAGACTAGACAGAAACCTTAGAAGACAGTGAGTTCACGTTAGTGGGGAAGGAACAACTCAGAGAAGGAGGGTGATAATAGTTGCACAACTTGAAGAGTGTAATGAATTGTACACATAGAAACTGTTGAATTAGTGTATGTTTTGCTGTATATATTCTCAACAACAACAACAAAAAAGAACAAAGGCAAGAGGAGGAGTGAAAAAAAAAAAGAAGAACAAGAAGAAGGCAGGAATGGACAGGAAAACTGGACAAATAGACATGGGGACCCAGGGTAGAAAGGGGGACGGTGCTGTCACATTGCAGGGGTTGCAACCAATGTCACAAAACAATTTGTGTATATATTTTTGAACGAGAAACTAACTTGTGCTGTAAACTTTCACCTAAAGCACAATAAAACTATATTTTTTTTAAAAAAGCCATTTTGTTGGGAAAAGGTGGGAAATGAGAAAGAATAGTGAGCTCTGGAGCCAGCACCCATACTTAAAGCAGAGCATCTCTCCTCTGATCTGTTGTACATCTTGGACTTTTACACAAGATCTGGTGTGGACAAAGATTCCACCACTTAAATTAAAAAAAAAAAATGTATAAGCCCTGGACTAGCGGACCATAAGGCAGGCATCATAGCACAGGCAAATCTTGGAAGAGCCTGACTCTTGATCTCCCAGGCTAGGCTCTAACGCTTACAGCTATGTGACCTCCATTGAATTGCTCATCCTCCCTGAAACTCAGCCTGTCATCCGTAAATACTTCCATGGTATAACACCTGTACCAAGAGTTGTTGTAAGGATTAGGTTGTGTAGCTGCAGCATGGTGCCTGGCACAAAGTTGGTGCTTGGAAAATGTTAGTTCCTGATGCCGTCCACCAGTCCTGACCACACCACCTTGGAAGGTGTCCCAAGTGACTTACCAGGTGGCCAGACCACGGGGCCCTTGGGCTATCTTCATGGCACAGATAACTGTATCCTTGAGGTTAGGCTTCAACAGGTCTGGGTTGGGAGGCAGAGAAACACAATGAAGGAGCAGGGAGCAGAGCTGGGCATCCAGGGTCAAGCTCACTTGCTTGTTTGCTCACGCTTTCTCTCTCTGTCTTGCATACACACACACACACACACACATCCTACCTCCCTCTTCCATCCTAAGCCCAATCCTACCTATCTCTTGACTACTCTGGAAGTACAGGTATCACTCTCCCCCTCTATAGAAGCAATCCCCCTTCCATCCATATAGCTCTGAGGATAGCCTCCCATCTGGAACCTCCAAATCAGATTCATCATCACTTGCCCCATTCTCCTCTCCTCAGCAGGCCCAGCAAGTTCTGGGGAGAGGAAGCAAAGGCTGGTGCATTGCCCCTACTCCAGCCAGCCCTGGGCCCACGGCCTACCTACCAGTGCAGTACATCCGGCATAGGTTGGGGGCCTTCAAATCGAAGTTGTTGCACCACTTCCGGCTGCTGATCTGGAAGATGCCGTTGTTGGTGCTTCCATCTGCCTCATGGTCCACAGCAGCTGTGTTAAAGCCACTTGTGAAGTAAGCAAGGCAGATCCCTGAGTAGGGGAGAGACACAGGCCTGTGGGTCAGACATTCCAGGGAAGAGAGGCAGCCAGGCCCCGGGAGGGCCACCCCAGGCCAGAGAGGTCACAGGGCAGTCCCCACACCTTCTCACCAGTGAGCCTCTCCTTCTGTCTCAAGGGTGGTCAGGGTAGCCTCCCTCCTACCTGCTCTGCATGCAGATGAAGCAACTGAAGACTAGAGGAGGAAAGTGACTTACCTAACTAAGGTCACATACAGCCACCAAATAGCAGGAGTCAGGACTGAGCCTCAGGCCAGCAATCTCCCCC